TGTCACAGGCCAGCTGGGCACTGTGAGTGTATCAATTTTATCACAGGTCAACTGGGCTGTTTGATTCAGTTTCGGATTGAGGAGGCAAAGCTGGGAGTGGAATAAAGGCAAATTTATTATAGCTTACACACACACAACAGTTAACAGAAAGATAAATGCGATAAGCAGATAAGGCAGTATAAAAGAGCTAATAGTAAATAATAACAACAGATAATAATAATAGATAGATCAATCTGTCACAGGCCAACTGGGCACTGCGAGGGTATTAGCCACACTGGGCTGTTCAAAACAACAAGTAGACAGACATGGGTTGGCAACTTATCAATAGTCCCTCAATGCCAGGTGCGTGCCAAGTGATTCCAGTGAAGTCAGGCGTCCCTGATGATCGACGCTGTCAGAGGGATTACCGGGGAAGGTCCCTTGCTCAGGATCCGATCCTCACTCACACCGGGAGTCTGGGGTCCGGGCGTAGGACAGAAATGACTGTTCTGTTCCCTCCTTCCCACTGGTTACCTGATGCATGTGTTTTTTATACCTAGCCTTAAATTAATCTGTTGGCCTCAGGGCCACTCACAATGTTGCCCTATAGCTGTTACCCTATGGGACTGAAAGGTGTTAAAATTATCATAAAACCCAGACTCAGGTTTATCCAATAAGCAAATTATGATGCAGCACCTTTAGGTTTGAAATTGACATCGCTCCGCCTAAATCCCAACCCCTTTTAGGCTTCAATTGAATATGCTTTCTTGGAATATGCTTTCCTGGAATGTGTTTGGGCGTGCCTACCAGTTAGATCCAGTTTTTATTGCTAAGGCTGAACCCTGAGCAAAAAACTGGTAGGCCAGCTAATCTCACAGCTACAGCTTTGCCTCTGGGGCCCAGTCAGTTCCATGAACAGTTAATTTATCATTTTGGTTAAACTTATGACAGACAAGTTACATTTGCAGTTTACAAACTTACAAGCTTATATTAACTAATATTACGTATTTAGGCAAAATACCAAATGCCTCCAAGAAGCACACATTATTGCTTATTAATCCATCTGGTTCTGGCTGTCACATAAGGGTAAGAAAACAAAGAATGGATGTAAATAGTCAGTTTTCAAAAGGAAAAACAATAAACATGGATCTGTGTTATGACTGGTGCCATTTAATATATTCATAAATGATCTGTAAGGCAGGGTACAGAGAAAGGCAACAAGGATGAATAGGGGCATGGTAGTGCTTCTATATGTGGAGAGATTACATAGGGTAGGATTTTTCAGCTTAGAAAAAGGAGATGCTTGAGGTCTACAAAAAATTACATGGTGCAGAGAAAGTAAATAGATTTATTATTTACAGTCTCTCAAAATACTAGAACTAGAAGACATAAAATGAAGTAGTAGATTTAAAACTAAGAGGAGGAAGGTCTTTTCACAAAGCATGTAATTAACTTGTGGAACTCACTACCACAAAGTATTGGTGGAAGCCGGTAGCTTAACCCAGTCCAAAAAAGGTTTGGACAAATTCTTGGAGGAAAGGTCCATCAGTAGATACTGAACATGATAGATAAGAGTGCAGCCTTTGAATCAGACTTTTTTAAACCACTGAATGCTGAAAGCTGCAAAGGCAGTGGGGCAGGGGATGAAAGATTCTGGGCATGGCCTGTTCACCCCCCCCAGCATCCACTCTGCTGCTGTGTGAAACATGTTACTGGGGTAGATAGACCCATAGTCTGACCCAGTAGTGGCATTTCTTATGTTTTCTGAGAATAGTTTATTAAAATAAGCCATATACAAATATAGAGTGTACGCTGGAGGGAAACTTGGAGAACATAGCAAATTCAAGAAGACCTGCTGCCAGTCCTGCCACCCTCCACCACTTCTCTTCTATGTCTCCCCACCCTAGATGATCTCTAGCTGAGAACATATATTGCACTGTCACAGGTAGCCAGATAGTCACTTGGATAAGTGTTTATTCTTGGTCTTCTGGGTATAAACAATAAAAACACTGTAGACCTGCCTCTTGTCTGTTTTTTTTAGTAGCCAACCTACCAAGACACCTGTATCCCAGGTAACATAAACGACAACCTGGGTGGCTGCTGTGTGGTAGGAGGTTATTTGCACCTGTCTGCCACTTTGGTTAAGCAATGCCACAACCTGAGTTTTGGCCCCACAGGGAAAGGAGTCAGTACACTGATTGGGGTGAAAGTAAAATGCTATCTGCTAGAAGGAATGGAGGGCCATTGGGAAGAGTACTCATTAAAGGAATACTAACTATACTTTAATTATTTGACTACATTTTCAGAAGACATCCTAATTATAGGGGAACTATAGAAGGCCTCTAGACTTGTCTTTGTAAAAGCCAAATAGTTTCAAATGTATGGTAGCAGAATTAGGGTTTATCCAGGATACTAGTAGCGAGAGAGAGAGGCTGCAAGCTTAATAAAATATAGAGAGTGTCTTGCAGACTGACTAAGAAAAAGCAGGAAGCGTACTTTATTGGGGCCAACACTGGAAGCAAAACCACTAACAGCTTTACCCCATCTGTAGCTAAGACATTTAAGGAAAAAAGGTGGCTCTCCGTAAAAAACTATATATGGTATCAAATGGAGCATTTGCATACGGACCATTCCTCAAGGAAAGTGCCCCAGTGGCAGCAGCAGGTGGGTTCCTCTTCCTCCCCTCTACTCAGTCCCTCCTCTACCCCCAAGTGTTCCGCGCAGGCCTGGGAACCGGACTAGGGAGAGGGAACTGGCCCACTGCTGCTGCCGTTCTCATTATCACTTGCTCAGCCTGGCTCTCCATGCAACCGAGCTAGAGCGGGGCAGGAGGGGCTCTGGATCTTACCCCAACATGGGACAGCAAGCAACAGCAGGAGATTCAATGATGGGTACAGGAGGGAGGGAATGAGCAAGGAGGAAACATGCTGCTGAGCATGGAGGGGAAAGGAGAGGCTGCCAAGAGCAGGTACAGGATAGGGTTCTTATCTGATTCTGGGATATTTTTTAAGCTCCTGGCTGCTGTTCCCGTGGTGTGGTCTGCCCATCCTGGTGAGGTGGGGGCAAGCTAGGAGCTGGGGTGGAGCCACCCCTGCAATGCAGGTTGCTGCTCTTGCACCTTCCTTTACAAAATTCTGGACCCTATCATGCATACAGGGAAATTATTGGCTTTTCCCCCTAAAAATTAGCTTGCTTTAAATTAACTGCTTCTGTTTATCTAATTGTTTTGTTTTTCTCAACACCTTGTTAAAGTATATGAGGAAAGCGATCATGCATACACCGCTACTTATAAGTGCTGTGGGAGAATGAAGATCAGGCCAAAATGTCTAGTGATTGTAGGGCTTCAGTATTTGAGGGAACAATTCCAGACTCCTTAATGTAAGGAGGCCTAGTATGCAGAAAGCTCTATGTACCAGCTCTCTAAAACAACGGTTCCACAGTACAGATGGCAACAGGGTGTGGTTTGGTTGGTAAAGGAAGTGCCTATGGCTCATACAGATGTGCTGAACTTAAAAAAAAAATCTGGAGCAGTCTTTCAGAAAAGAAGCTTCTCCGAAAAGTAACCTGGTCCCTAAAACTTAACCTGTTCCCTTCATAACTTACATTTCTATGTACAAGTATACATTCCTACAAGCATAGGAATCAGAGGCACCAGTAGGATTCAAGAACACTGCTAAGGAGAGCAAACTCCAGCCACTCCTATGATCATGACCTACTTTCCTGAAAGGCCCTGCTTCCTCCTTGTCACTGAGGTTCTTCTTGCCATTCCATCCATATGAGTCTCTCTTGCTCTTATTGTTTTCTCCTGAGATTTTCTCCCAGGTCTTTCCTGCTGCTTGTCTTCTTCCTTCAAATTTAAGTGCTTAACTCTTGGTCTCTCCCTCTCTCTCCCTGGCTCCAGTAAAATTTTCCCAGTAGCTCAACTCTATTCCACTAGCCTACCTGTTTCTTCAGACTGTCTCTCCACATAAGCAGTCATGTCTCTGTTTGCAGTTGGCATGAGTATGCATCAGATACTGATAACCACCTTTTGGCATTTACTAATGTTAAACGAAACATTCCTACATGCACTGTATTTTGCTGTTCTAGGAAACACCCTAGTTAAGTAGCTGGAACATTTGACCACAAGTTGAAAGATCTGGGGCATCTGACTTTGCTGCCTAACAAGTGATTTAATCTCTCAGTGCCTAGGCTTCCTTATCATTTAAAGAGCAGTGTGTCATCCTGTATCATCTGTTGGTGCAAAGCATTTCATTAGGAGACAAATGTAGCTATGTACAGAGGATGGCTTTATCCTCTGCACGTATCACTGTGAATGCAGCCTAGGATTCCTTTCCAGAAATCTGCAGTTAGTCTATCAAAAAAAAGAAAGAGAAATTCCCCCCACACTAAAAAACAAACCAGGAAGAACAGGCTTACAGTCTTTATTGTTCTTGAGTCAAAAGCTGGCCATGTATTTAGCTTACAAATAAATCAGCCAAGTTAGATGTCATTGTTTCACAGGAAGTTTCGGATCACAATTATACTTTTTTAAAGTGCCAAATTTATTTAAAATGAACTGCAGTCAGAGTTCCTATTCATGGTGCCATATAGTTGCTAAACAGCATAAAATGAAGATCAAAGCTAAATTACACAGGGCATTCCTATGGAGAGATGTATTACACGTAAACAGGTTCCATCCTCCAGTCTTTAAATTACAACACCAATATTTCTACTTTAGCAAAACAGATTCTCCTCTCTTCATGATAGAAAGGGGTTTATATTTTGATATTTGATGGCAAATTTCCATCACAATATATACTGATTGGGGAATATCACCCACTTTGCTCCACACTTAGCTCTGCAGGGTATATCATGTCATCGTCACTAGACCAGCATTTGCTTACATTAATTAGAATTTTGCCACAATTTAGTATCAATTTCTTATAGTAAAATCTTTCGTATTTGATCTGACAGCAAGAGACAGCTAATTCCATTACATATTGTGCAACACAATGTCTAGAAATCTGCTCATTGCTTACCTTGTTTTTCTCCTGAACACTAGTAGTGGTTATGTCCTTTTAAAATAGCTTATTCCGTTCCACTCTGTCTGTGTTTTCTCAATGGTTATTTTTAAAGGTGAATCGAATCCACTGAAAAATGATTTAGCAGATAATTTTCAGGTCAGGATATCTGTAAACAACCCATCAATTTATAAACACAAAAAAACCCAGATGAAAAACAACTTACCCAATGTTTCGTGGATGCAACTTATGCCTTATACAGCTACAGTGTATAAATCACTTTAGCACATAAGAAAGCAGGTCAGATAACACCTCTTCCTGTGTGAAAATGTGCAAGACAAGCTTGCAGAATTCTAGTGAGAATTCAAATGTCTCGGTAAAAAAAATCAAGAAAATTAAGTTCTTCTTTTCTATAAATGGACATTCAGACCGCTTGGTAAAATTCACTAAAGCACAGATGTGCAAAGAGATTTTGAAATCTGTAGAAGACCTTTGTGGTGGCTGGACTGAAGATTTCACAATCCAAGAGTACAATTATAGAAACCTTTAGGGGTTTTTTTTGGTTTTTGTCGTTATCTGTATATCCCATTCAACTAATTCTCTTTAAAAACAACATTTTTGTATGGGAATTTAAATGTCCATTCTTTAGCCTTTTCTATTAATCAGTCACTTAGCAACAGGTGAAGATGTGTGGTTGGTGCCGTTGTACAACAACTGTAACATTTGATCTTGACAGTTACAGTGCTGCCTGCCTCATTATTTTGAGTGCACTATGGTAGATCTCAGTCAGTGCCGTAGCAAAGTGGGGCCACCGCGCTACATGCCAAATTGAAGGGGCTCCAATAGGCACTGCCCAGCCAGCCAGGACAGAGCCGCGAGCAACTCATTTGTGGGGGCATGGGGCAGGAGCGGCTCCTACTGCTGCATGCACTCCCGGGCAAGCATGGTGGGGAGAGAGGCATGTGCCCCCCGGATCTGTGCATGGGGCGAGGGTGGGCTGCCGCTGTGGGCTTTTCCCCCGGTGCCAAACTTCATTGCTACGGCACTGATCAGTCAATTTAGTTGATTCTGTCACTCGGACCAGATCCTGGACAGGAGGACTGTTTAGGCATCCACACTTGATCCCCTTCATGAGCCTAGGACCAGGGATATCTAGTCACCCAAAATAAATTAAACGTAGCATTAATTTTGTGGGAACAAAGGTTTAGGAGAAATACTGGTAAGTGGGGTTGGCAAGTACAAAGAGGTGTCTCGTATTTAGACGTGAGTGGCAATTAAGAGGTGTGGTTGGGATTGACAGGAAGGTTTGTTTATTTGGGGGTTTGGGCAGGGAAGCAGTGGTTGGGCAGGAAGTTATAATTTTTGGGTTCCTGGGTGTTGTGTTGGGAATCCTGTCTGTGGGCTGTTTGTTTGTTGTAAGGCCACTCTAAGCCTTTTGGACACAGCAGGATATAAATGTCAAAAATTACATAATTAAAAGATAAATAAATAAGATTCTTTTTAACCATGGTAGGTCTAGATGGATAGTGGGTGCCTATCTTTCTTATTCTCTGAGCCAAAATGGAATCTAGTAAAATCTGGGAAAGGTCTGGAACTCTTGTCTTTTTCACTAGTAGTCTTGAAAATAAGCTAATGAAACATTGTGTAGGTCACTGATTCTCAACCAGGGTGTCACGGTACCAGACAATGTTAATAGTGTTAAGTTTGCAAACATGATTCACAAAATAAACCAGGGATTTCAAATAGAAATCTATAATTGTGGGCTTTCTGAGTTCTTTGCAACAGAAAAGTTGTTGTTATTTTTCTGTAGTCAAACAAAAAAGAGTGGAAACTAAGGGCTGACATTTTCCAAAGGGTACCACGAGTCTATGCAATGGTGCCTTCAGTCTAAAAAGGTTGATGGCATAGGCTGTGTGTAGATGAAATGAGAGGCGTGTGCACACAACACTTTAAAGCAGACTAAATGCTTTTGCACCACTTTAATGGTGTTGGTGTTTATATGCCTTGGCAGCATATTACACGTTAATTTCAACCACTGTTGGAAATTTGGTGGCGTAATGCGCCTTAAATGACTTATGGTGCAGCAAACTAAAGCTCCTTCGAGGAGTTTTAGTTTGCTGCCCCTACCGGCCACAGAGTGAAGCACCGGACTCCTTGCAGCTCCACAGCTCTGCAGGAAGCCCTGCGGGCAGCCTGGCAGCAGCCTGGGAAAACAGGCTCTGCCGAAGAAAAGCAGCAAACCTGATCTTTCCCCTGCCCACCTCCCCCAGCCTGCTTGCCTGAGCTGTGTGGGGGACCAGTGCTTCCCTCCATGGCTGCATTGCCCCCTGGGACCACCCAAGCCATGTGCTGGCAGGCGGGTACTGCCTGGGGGCAGGCTGCCGCGGAGGGAAGCACCAACCCCCCTGCACCCCCTAACCCAGGGGTCGCTCCACCCACCAGCAGCGTACCCCCCCATCCCCACTGCCGAGGAAGGTAAGTCAGCAGGGTGTCTGCATGACACAGGGGTTCAAGCAGCCCTAAATTGAAGCGGTGTTTTTTAAAACCCACCACTTCAATTTAGGTCCCCCATTTTGTCTACACACACCCATAGCCTTTTTGGTAGGTTATAACTTTGTGCATTTGTTCCATTTCCAGCTGCAATCTCTCCCTTACACACTGGAGGGCAGCAGGGACTGAGCAGTGAACTCTATGAATCATCTCTGTTGTTGCTTAGATGACAGCTGCAGTGCTTATGTGGAGAAATCAGGAAAAACAAGTGGAAGCAACTGCCTACCTCAGGATTTTGCTGGTAAGGAGCAGAGAGAAATAGGCACTTTCTCCTCTCTGCATCTCCAACTTGTTCTCTTTTATCCTCAGCTTGTGAGGCGAGGAACAATTTGCAAGCTCGCTTAACTGAAAGAGCTTTATTTAACAGGCACTTTAAGTTAAAGGGTTACAATCATTAGAGTTACAATATATATTTACCTGAGATACTATATATATATATATATATATATATATATATATATATATAGCATCTTAAATGTTTTTTTTTTCAATCTGATCAGAACTCATTGTATTGTAGAAATTATCCAATCATTTTCTGATATTTATATGTTAAACTATTTTTTAGAAATAACTTGGTTCCGTGCATCAGAAACTCCTTCTGTACAGTTTGAGCAAGGTCCTGCTACTTACACTTGTATTGCAGGACATACTCTACCACCCCATAAGAGATTAAAGTGCTCTCACAAATACCACTACCCTTTCATGCAAGCCTAGAGTTAAGCTATTTCCTTTTATAAACACTAAATACTGGGGATCCCATCCAATTTTGCATCCAATCAACCATTTAAAACAACTATAAGAACATTTTTTCCTAAATAAGTGTAACTAATAAACGTTGCAAATTTGATAATTTTCCCTCTTCATAGAATCATAGGCTTGAAAGGGATCTTGAGGATCATCTGGTCCAAACTGCTGCATGAATGCAGAAATACTACGAAATCATATCTGAACAAAGCTTGAAGTGGACTGTTCCATTCCTTTGGTGTTCTAATAACAAATACTTTTTCCTAATATCCAATCTATATCTACTTTGCTTCAGTTTGAAGCCACAGTTTTATGTCCTGCCCCTGCAGCAGAGAACAAAAGTTGTTCTCCCTCTTCTTTATGGCAACCTTTCAGGTATTTAAAGACTGCTATCCCACTCCTTAGGCTGGGATACAAATTACACATACACGGGTTTAAGTGATCAGAAACAGATTTAAACCTGTAACAGAACAGAAGTTTGGTGCACTTAAACCACTTTCAAAATGGCCAATGCTGGTTTAAGATAAACCTGGTTGGATGCAGTATCCGAATAAACTAATTTAGGTCAAACTGGTTTATGGAACTTCTGTCTCAGATTCCTTCCCGGTTCAAGTTAACTCACAGTCCCCCAGTATCCCAGGATGTTTTGCAGCTCTGGGCTATGATGTCTGCTCCAGCAGAGCAGGGTCTGCCTTGCCCCTCTGTGCCCTGGCCAGAGCACTAGCACTCCTGGCTGATGAGGGAGTCAAGAGGAAAAAATTCACCCCTCTGGCCCAGCACAGGACCCCCCCCAGACATGTGCAGCCTAGCACAGAGGGGAAAGAGGGACTTGGCTCCTCCTCCAGGAGCCAGAAGTGGGGCTGGAGTCCCCCAGCTGTGCCCCTTCTTCAGTCTCCAGACTAGAGATGGAGGAGTGGGGTGTGGCTGGGGGACTCCAGCCCTGCTCCCAGCTCCTGGCTTTGGGGAGTGGAGCCAAGCCCTGGTACGGGCTTCCCTGTCACCTTCCCTCAGCTGGCCCAGAGACTGAGGAGGAAGGAATGGCTGTGAGACTCCAGCCCCGCTCCTGGCTCCCGGGGGCAGAGCCAGGACCTGGTGTAAGGTTTACCTCCACCCAGCTGGCTTCAAGACTGAGGAAGGTGTGTGGCTGGGGGACTCCAGCCCTGCTCTGGGCTCCAGGTGGACAGAAGAAAGGTACCCGTTCAGATTTCCTTCCCCATGCTCTATACTGGGATGCTCCTGGCTAGGGGTTCAGTGCTGGGCCAAAAGAGGGGTTTCTCTCCCATTCCACAGCCAGACCAGAGCCTGAGGTGGGATTGTGGCTGGGGGAATCACCTGGCTCCCTGCTCGCTGCAGTGGCCAGCAGGTTGGGAGGTGTGCTAGGATCTGGGTTTTCCATTCACTGTGGAAAAATATAGGAAATGGCAGGTTCCCCTTGCAGGCTGGCAGAGTTCCAGCCTGCAAGGAGCTGCAGGGAGAGGGATGCAAGGGGTGCCGCGTGCATGTGGCCAGGAATACAGCCCTAGGCAGCACAGCTACCCCAGCTGCCTGCAGGTAAGTCTATGGCAGGGAGATAGAGGCTTCCATGGTGAGGGAGGGAGTAGTGATGGGGTTGGGCCTGGGGGTGCTGCTCAGCCAAGGCGATGCATGGGGCCCAGGGCCAGGGTGGGGAGTGGAACAGAGCCACAGGTGGCTTGTCCAGGTGGCAGCAGAGGAAGAGGTTGGCACCCTGCCACTGTGTGCACTTCTGAGGAGGAGAGCGTGGGGAGGCATGTGCCCCCCAGATTTGTACTTGAGGTGAGGCCAGATGTGTTTTGCCTACTGAGGCTTTGTTGCTCCCTGCCCTGCTGCAGTCCCCCTGGGAGCCCTGCGCAGGCCATGCCACCATGGCAAGGCACCCCTTGCCTGCCCAGCAGCAGCAGGGGCAGCAACATGGAGTTGTGGCCCCCTGCTGCTGCTGGATGGGCACAGGCTGCCTTGCCATGGTGATATGGCCAGCACAGGACTCCCAGAGGGGAGAGCAGCAGAGCAGGGAGCTCTGAGCCTG